AACATTCTCCAGAATAGACCACATACTAGGCCACAAAACGAGCCTCAGTAAATTCAAAAAGATTGAAATCCTACCAACCAACTTTTCAGACCACAAAGGTATAAAACTAGAAATAAATTGTACTAAGAAAGCAAAAAGGCTCACAAACACATGGAGGCTTAACAACACTAAATAGTCAATGGATCAATGACCAAATTAAAATGGAGGTCCAGCAATATATGGAAATAAATGACAACAACAACACAAAGCCCCAACTTCTGTGGGACACAGCTGTCCTGACCCGTGGGTAAGTCAACATGGTCTTGAGGAGGGGAGTGGGAATGGATGGGACAAGAGACACGAGAAAAAGAGACAAGACAGTGTTCTGATCAAGTCTCATTTATTCTTGAGATACGTGGGGTTTTATAGGGTAAGAAACAGGAAAAGGGAGGGGCATGCAGCTGCACAGGAACAAAAGGGAGGCGTATGCAGCTGCAGTTAGATCAAAGCAGGGTGTTTTCACACAGATATGCTTATTTTGGCAAGGAGCTCTAACCGCCATATGTTCCGAGCTGGTAACAGGAAAGCACACAAGAGTTTCTTTCTCTCAGAAGTCTTATGATTTAATTATTGGCCGGCTCCCCACAGGTCCCCTTTCTTTATTTAAAATTAAAAAGGAGAAGAAGAAAGAGACTGCATGATGGGACTTCCATGCGACTGTGCCTGTCTTAGGTTGTTCCTTCCTCTAGGAATCTTACCTGTCTTTGGCTAACCAGTCGTGAGATCACTTGCAGAGCAACATACTGGCACATACTACATCTTACCTGTCATTGGCTGCCAAGACAGCTAGGTCTTGCGCCTGTCTTAGGTTGTGTAGTAATGTGCAGGAAGGCGGCACCATATTGTATGGCATAAGCTCATGTGGAGAACATACACGCATTTTCTTCTTGTTCTAGACGGTTATAATGGACCTGAATGGGGCAAGCCAGGATTGTGTTCACTTGATTTTTTACAAAGGACATAAGCTTCTGGAACAAAAAAGGGCCGAGAGATAGGAGGAGAAGCAAGCTGAGCAAGGGTCCTAGTATGGGGAGAAGGTAGGGGAGGATCCCATTTAACCCAGTCCACAGGGGGTTCTCGAACAATTCTTTTTTCCTTTTTATAAGGTCTTCTTGTAGCTTCTTAATTTTGTCTCGAACTATTCCGGATTTATTAGCATAAAAACAACTCTTTTCTTCTAGGGCTAGGCAGATTTCTCCTTGTTCAGCGGTAAGCAGATCTAGGCCACGCCTGTTTTGTAGGACTACTTCTGCTAGTGAATCAATTTGGTCTTGAAGATCTTGTAGAGTACCTGAAATAGCTTGAACATCATCAATTAACTGAAGAGATAATTGGTTATACTTATGTAGAGATACGCCCAGTCCTGAAGTTCCTGTAGCAAATGCTCCAGTGACACCTAAACCTATTAGCAAGGGGATGAAAGTAACTGCTCGCTTGTGTCTTTTAGGAAGATAATCAAAAGAGGGTAGTGGAATTGTGTCATTTCCAGACACAATATTTATATCTGGGAGAAGGATTGCAGTAGTGCACTGCCCTGTCCTATTGCCGGGCAGTGCAGTGTAGGCTAAATTATTTCCACACACAAATACTTGTCCTTTAGGGGGGCACAGGAAACAATGGTCAGAAATGTTGTAATTGGTGGTACAGTTGGCGAATGTGATATTCTCCACATCTATATCATAAGAGTTATTTTGATAGCTCTGGTATAAGCAGGTTAAATTCTCATTTGAAAGAGGTTGAACCTTAAAAGGGAGGCTCAAGGAACAGTTGTCTGAGGAGGACACGTTGGATGACACTGAGGATATATTAGCGGTTAAGATGGGTAGGGGCATAGGTGTTCCCCAAGGCATACAGAGCCAGCAATCTGCTGCGAGGGTGGGATTAGTCTGGTTGAGTAATTGGTGGGTATTTTCAAGTAGAATAGCTGTTTGAGTATCTAAATTTATTCCTCTGGGTTTAGGGAAAGCTAAAGGGTGGTATATTAAGGAAGGATACATATACTCTATGAGTTGCTCTATACACTTTTGCACGAGTTGTTCACAGGCCCTATCCGATAGACCTCCTCCATCGGACACATGAATAGGTGACAAGACCTTCCAACAAACAGGTTTTCCTGGCGTCCCTGCACAACTAGCTGAAAGTGGTGAGTTATGGGAATGGGTCTGTACAGTGCCCCAGCGGGTTGTCTTCAGAATGGCTGTCAGATAAGTTTGGTTTTTATAATGACAGCTCTGGACTATGCATTTGATCTTGGACTGTAAAGGTGCCAGTGGCATTGCAATTACAGGGTATTGATTTCTTGTCAGCAGTTGGTGTTATGGAAGGCTTTTTAACGCATTTCCAAGAGAGTTGCTTCCATCCTCCACTAGAGGAATATCCTCCTGCAGAGATATCTGCTGTGAGATATGCTGTCTTATCCTGACAATCTATGGGTCCTCGGGTGGTAAATTGGGGTTCAGCTAAGTATTTTGTCCCTTGAGATGTTACTTGTTTATGTCCTTCTATATTGGGTTCTAAATCCTGTATTCCTCCCTTACAATCACATGGTTGTCCAAATAGCTGCACATAGATCTGTTCTTTGTTAGGAGATGATTGAAACCCCCCATGACAATAGAGAGGGAATAGTATACTTACCGTGAAGAAGGTGAAAACGCGAGAGTTGATGGGCTTCATCCTTTTATAAGGTGCAGTTAAGAAGTGCGAAGATGCCAACAAGGATCCAGTAAGTGGTAACAAGAATAGTCTGCTGTACAAGGGTCCACTGGGGAGGGGTGGAGGTGGCAAGCCCGATGCCTGAGATGAAGGCAATGACTAAGGCTGTGGTTAAGAGTCAGGGCTCACAGTCCGTCATCACTCTGTAAAGGTGAAGTTTGGGGGATGTAATGATCTACTTGTTTAACAAGTCGTTCTGGTAGCCATCTGGCTGAACTCATGTCTTTAGAATATATACAGACAGATCCTCGTCCCCATATGAGCACGGGGTCTGGGCCATGCCAAGAATTGGTCAGGGGATCTTTCCATTTTACTTGAGCGAACTGTTTCTGTGTATTTGCATGCCAGAACCTTTGTGCTGCTGATTGTCTGTGCTGTCTAAAGATAAAAAATTTAAAATAAAGAGGGCATGGTGTAGAATGTTCCTGGGGGATCCTTTGACTGGATACCATTCCCCCTTTTTTATTTTGTTAATGGTAGTTTTAAGGGTGAGATTAGCTCGTTCTACAGTTCCTTGTCCTTGAGGATTGTATGGTATACTGGTTATGTGAGGTATGTGGAGATTTTGGCAAAATTGTTCAAAGTTGTGGCTACTGTAACCGGGCCCATTATCAGTCTTAATTTGCTGGGGCATTCCCATGTTGGCTATGGCAGTTAGAACATGAGCTATTACATGTTTTGTGGCTTCCCCTGTTTGTAGTGTGGCTAAAATAAAGCCACTATAGGTGTCAATAGAGACATGAACATATTTAAGAGGGCCAAATTCTGGGATGTGTGTCACATCCATTTGCCAAAGGGCATTGGGCATTAGTCCACGGGGGTTTACACTGAGTTGTGGCACTGGAAGGTGGAGGGAGCAAGAAGGACAAGACTTGGTGATGTCTCTAGCTTGCTCTCTGGTGATTTTGAACATAAGCCGAAGAGTATGGGCATTCAAATGATGTAGCTCATGGGCCTTTCTTGCTGAAATGATAGGATCTTTAGAATGGATCAGACAGCAAATTTTCGTGGTTGCCTTCTGCTAGAGGACTGGGTAAATTGGAATGAGCATGTAAATCGCCTATAAAAAAGGGTTCTATTCTGAGTCTTATCAGTGTTTGCAATTGCAGGAAGAGTGTTTCAACAGTTGAAGTTGATTTCAGTTGGCTACAAGTCTCTAATTGCGGGATAGAGTAAAAAATAAAGGCACTGTCAGTGTAAAGATTAAAAGCATTGTTTGGAAAAGTGAAAAAAACAGCAACTGCATTGAGTTCCACAATTTGAGCAGAGGAATTGGGAACAGGGAATGTTACTCGGTTTGAGCCACAAATATACGCGGCGGTACCATTAGAAGATCCGTCTGTAAATATTAAGAGAGCATCTTGCAAGGGTTTACTTGAGGTTATTTTGGGAAAAATGAATTCATGTTTTTGAGCAAAATAAATTAGCTTACTTGGAGGGTAATGATTGTTGCGGTGTCCTGAAAACGCTGCAAGGGAAATAGGCCATGTCTCAGTGGTTTGCATGAGCCAATCAACTTGTTCCTTTGTATAGGGTTGAATAATTGTGTCAGGGTCTTTGCCAAAATATTGCACACTCTGAGATCTGCCTAGGATAATTAAGTCTGCAACAGCTTCATAATAAGGCGTTATGACTTTTTTGGGGGAGACAGAGAGGTGGACCCAAAGGAGTGGGGCAGTCTTGCCAAAAGACAGCTGTAGGAGTAAGTTTAGCTTTGAAGATGATATAGATAAGTGGCTTACTATAATCTATAAAGGTAATGGTCTGGTTACTAATAGCTCGTTGAACAATATTAATGGCTTCTCGGCTGTTCGGGGTAAGGTATCGGGGAGATGTGGGTTGGCTGTCTCCTTTGAGAATATCATATAAGGGTTTCAAGTCACTTTTAGATATCTTTAGATATGGTACAAGCCAATTTATATCTCCTAACAATTTCTGAAAATCATTAAGTGTGGTGAGGTGATCAAGATGTAGGAGGGGCCTAGGAGATGTAATAAAAGCTCCTTTCATCTGAAAACCTAAATAGGTATAAGGATCTTGTAATTGAACCTTTTCAGGTGCTATTTGTAAACCTGCTTCGTGAAGAGCAATGCTCAGGTGAGAATAACATTGCAGGACTTCATCTTCCTTTTCTCCTGCTAACAGTATATCATCTATATAATGTACTAAATACATTTGTTGCCATTTAGAGTGAATTTATTGTAAGGTTGCATCAACAAAGGATTGACAAAGAGTTGGACTATTCGACATCCCTTGAGGCAAAACTCTCCATTGAACTCTTTTCATCGGGGCTTTAAAGTTAATGGAGGGGAGGCTGAAGGCAAATCTTTTTTGATCATCGGAATGGAGCGGGATGGTAAAGGAACAATCTTTTAGGTCTATGACAATTTTGTAGTGACCGAGGGGGATAGCAGTGGGTGAGGGAAGCCCTGGCTGTAAGGCTCCCATGACTACCATAGTTTTATTTACCGCGCTTAAATCTTGCAATAACCTCCATCTTCCTGATTTTTTCTTTATAACAAATATAGGTGTATTCCATGGTGAATTGCTAGGGACAATATGGCCTGCCCGATGTTGTTCCTGCACCAACTGCTCGGCAGCTTGTAGTTTTTCTTTCGTAAGGGGCCATTGGTCCACCCATACTGGATCATCTGTAATCCAGGCGATTTTGTCAGCATGGGCGGCAGGACAGCCAATGGCCTTCACGAAAAATGTCCTAGTCCTTTTCGGGCAAGGTTAATTGGGGGTTGTAACGGTTGGGTAATTCCACTGGAAGTTTTCCCTAAGCTTTGTCCTGGAAGGTATCCCTGCTTAAACATCTGTAGGGTCACTACTTCATTAGGACTACCGATGACCATGCTCATCTGAGACAATAAATCTCTGCTCCACAAATTAATGGGTAGTCCAGGTATAACAAATGGTTGAATAGTTCCACTGTTACCTTCCTTATCTCTCCAAGAGAGAAACTTAGTACCTCTTTTGGATTATTGCTTTGTCCTATACCTTTCAAATGAGTTAGGGAGTCTTCAAGCCGCCAAGACTGAGGCCAGTCATCCTTCTTTATTACGGTAACATCTGCACTGGTGTCTACTAGCCCTTGAAATTGTTTTTCATCTAACCATAGTGTTAAAAGCGGCTTGTCATTTGTGATTTCTTTAACCCAAAATGCTTCTGAGGACCCGAATCCTCTTCTTCCTTGATGGGGATTAAGGGATTCATTATTGGTATTTAGTAATGGGAGGAGCAACAACTGAGCAAAGCGCTTCCCATTAGGGATGGTATTTATATTTTTTGGTGAGGAAGCCATGACTGATTTCTCCAGTATAGTCACTGTCAGTAACACCGGGGTAGATCATCAGTCCTTCCATTGTACTGCTGCTACGTCCTACACTTAACCCAAAGTATCTGCAGGTAGGGGGCCATAAATGCCTGTGGGCAAGGCTTGAACTCCCATGTTGGGGGTCAATACTGTGTAGGCGGTGGAACAGAGGTCCAATCCTGCACTCCCTGCTGTGGCTCTGAGGAGTGTTAAGATGGATTGTCGCTGCTGGCAGCTTGTGCAAAAAATTGACTCTCTGGCCCCATTTTTCTGGGGCCTGGGGCCGGCCCTGTTTCCCGTTTCCCTGGTTCTGAGTAAGGTTGGTATTCAGGGGATGGCCGGCATAATCTGTTTTAGATGGGCATTCATTTGCCCAATGGTTGCCTCTCTTGCATTTGGGACAGAGCCCAGGGGCTTTTTTAGTTTCTCTCTTAGGGGCTTCACTACAATTTCTGGCATAATGTCCTGTCTGTCCACAATTAAAACATTTGATCTTGTTTGTTTGAGCGGATAGAAAGTCTCTGACAGTGCGGCCTTGCATAGCAGCTGCCATGGCTAAGCCCTGCTGATATGCAGAGCCTATGTCCGAACAAAGGCGAATGTACCCTGAGAAGTCAGTCTTTTTCCTATAAGGGAGTATGGCTGCCTGGCAGGCTGCATTAGCATTCTCGTATGCAAGTTGACAAAATCTGTGCCCGCCTCTGTACTCTCAAATATCCTTCCTGCTGCAGTAAGGAGGCGATAGACAAAATCAGCAAATGGCTCATCTGGACCTTGTTTTATGCCTGTGAGTGAGGCACTAGCATCTCTTTTTACTGGTATCTTTCTCCAAGCCTTAGTAGCTGCTACTTGAGTCTGAGCGTACAATCCTACATCATATTGCATCTGTTGGTCACTGGTGGAAAAATTGCCTTCACCTGCTAACGTATCATAAGTCCACCCATTATTAGCCTGTGCACTGCGTCGCACAGTATCGTGACAATTCTCAACGAATTCTGATTTCCACAAGAGATAGTCACTGCCTGACAGTGTAGCGCCTGGCGAGAGATCTCTAATCTCCGGGAGTAAGCCAATTTTCCGCTACTGATTCTACTATGGCCATGCTGTAGGGGGGCAGTAGCACCATACTGTGCAAGGGCTACTTTGATTTCTTTGATGACTTTAAAATCAAAGCCATTATGGTGCCTCCACACCTGTCCTTGGGCTTCTGTGGTCTCTGTAACGGGAAAGGCTTCTGTCTCTGAAGGGACAGACAGATTATCTTGTCTAAT